TATTCATATATGTATATAATGTTCTTTGATCAAATTTACTTCCTCTATTATTGTTTCTTAAATGTGAATGATTTCTTTATGCAGCCTAACATGGAGGAGCTGTTTTGAGCCTTAGTGGACAGATGAGGACTCTAGGTCTAGGCATGGATTAGGTAAAGAGGAAGTCTAACACCACAGATGCTCTCACTCAGCAGCTGTGGGTCTGAACTGCTAGCTTGTGCAGAACACTGCATGTAAAGAGCCCGCTTGGGGATCTTTTTGTAACTCAGGCCAGCACAGCTTGAATGACTTGGTCACTGAGTGTCCAGCTCCCATGTGCTCCCTCTGCTGGACACCTTTGAACAGCAAAAATTAGCATGTTCCTCTTGTCTGGCTCTGCATCCACCTTTGAGAATGTAACTCTCTCAAGTTCCTACTCCTTGCCAGAGGCTGTGAGGATAAAGAACAGCTTTGCTCTCCAGATCTAACCAATACCTTTCCACACATGCAGGTACCCCAAGAAAGAGCTTAGAGTAGGGTTCAGAGGCTGGACTATAAACTAAGTCATAAAGTTCAGTGGTTCTGGGCTAACTCCCACCACCACCACCATCAAATGCACCGTCATTTTTGGAGGAAGCCACCACTGAGCTGCTGTTGCCACCCACCGTGGGTGACTTGGGACATCTAGATGATGGTCTCTGCTTGTTGTAATATCACTCCTCCAGGCCGTGAATGTTAGCTCTCTTACCTCTACAATCAACCCCCAGCCCCATGAAAAAAGGTGGAATAGAGGAGATGTTGGCAGGGCTCTTAATGACCCCAAAGTCTGCACTCTCTTGCATCAATCCTACCTCTGTAGGGAAGAAATCTTTCAATAATCCAAGGACACTTTTGCTTATGATGCACAAAAGCAGAGGCAGATATTGGAACTTTTTTTTTGTTGTCGTTGGTCATGGGGGTCTAAACTCTGGGCCTGGATGCTGTCCTCAGCTCTTCAGCTCAAGGTGAGCGCTCTACCATTTGAACTACAGTGCCACTTCCAGCTTTTTCTGCTTATGTGGTGCTGAGGAATCGAATCCAGAGCCTCACGTGTGCAAGGCAAGCACTCTACCACTGAGCCACCTTCCCAGCCCAGGTAGTGGCACTTTTTACTGTGTTCTGACTTCCAGCCCCCAGCCCAAGGGAAAACAAAATGATTCTTTCCTATTAGCATCTTTTAACAGCATAAAGGTCATCACACAATTATAATGAGATTACCCAACCCAAGCCAGCTGTTTCTACCTTGGCTGAGTTCATCACTTTCTCTGAGGGTTTCTTTTGGTTCTTCATGAGAGTCCAGTTCATCTCCACTTCTCTATTGGGATAATATACCATAAAGAATTTATCAGACAAAATTAGGCAAACACCCCTATGATCCATACTCTAGTTTTGCTCTAGTTTTGTTAGCTGCCTCCTCCTCCTTCCTCCTCCTCTTCTCTCTCCCTCCCTCCTTTCCTTCTTCCCTCCCTCACTTTTTTTTTTTTTTTGGGTCCGGTCATGGGGCCTGAACTCTGGGCCTGGGCGCTGTCCCTCAGCTCTTCAGCTCAAGGCTAGCGCTCTACCACTTGCGCCACAGCGCCACTTCCGGCTTTTTTCTTTTTGCTTATGTGGTGTTGAGGAATTGAACCCAGGGCCTCAGGCATGCAAGGCAAGCGCTCTACCACTGAGCCACCTCTCTTTCCTTCCCTCCCCCCTCCCCTTTCTGTACAGGGACCAAACCAAGGGCCTCAACTTCCTAGGCAAGCATTAGTTATAGTTTGGATAGAAGTTGGGTCCCTCTAAGCTAGGTGCTAGTAGCTCATGCTTGTAATCCTAGTTATTCAGGAGGCTGAATGCTGAGGATTAAAGTTTGAAGCTCAGACAGACAAATCCATGAGACTTTCATCTCCAAGTAACTAGCATAAAGCTGGAAGTGGATGGGCTGGGAAGGTGGCTCAGTGGTAGAGTGCTTGCCTTGTAAGCCTGAGGCCCTGGGTTCGATTCCTCAGCACCACATAAGCAAAAAACAAAAAGCCGGAGGTGGCGCTGTGGCTCAAGTGGTAGAGCGCTAGCTTTGAGCTGAAGAGCTGAGGGACAGCGCCCAGACCCAGAGTTCAGGCCCCATGACCGGACCCAAAAGTAAAAAAGAGCTGGAAGTGGAGGTGTAGCTCAAATGGTAGAGTGCTAACCTTGAGCATAAAAACCAAAGTGAGGGCTGGGAGTGGGGCTTAGTGGTAGAATGCTTGCCTAGCATGCATGAAGCCCTGAGTTTGATTCCTCAGTACCACAGAAACAGAAAAGGCCAGAAGTGGCATTGTCACTCAAGTGGTAGGGTAATATCCTTGAGCAAAAGAAGCTCAGGGACAGTGCCCAGACCCTGAGTTCAAGCTCCAGGAATGGCCAACAAACAAACAAACAAACAAACAAAACACAAACAAACCAAGGAGAGCATGATACCCTGAATGCCCTGTACTGGCGCGCGCATGCACGCACACACACACAGAAGGAAGACATGGAGGAGAAGGAGGAAGAAGTAGAGGAAGAGGAGGAGGAGAAGAAGGAGAAGGAGGAGGAGGAGGAGGAGGAAGAGGAGGAAGAAAAGAAGAAGAGGAAAGAAGAAAGGAGAAGGACGAGGAACAAAAGAGAAAAAAGGAAGGAAGGAAGAAAGGAGAAGGAAGGAAGGAAGGTAGGAATGAAGGAAGGAAGGAAAAAGAAGAGAAAATGAAAACCAAACCAGCATGGTGTCAAGTGTTTGTAATATGCTGGATGTGCTAGCATGGCAGCTGAGCCACCTTCCCAGCCCTGTTACCTACTTCTTATGAAATGAGCTCATGTACGTGAAATATAAGACAGAGCCTAACACAGTAACATTAGCTCAGTAATATTAGCAACTGCGATTATTTACATTTCTTTGCATTTTTGTGCTGCTTCCATTTTTAAAAATCTACCCGCATCCCCTGAAATGTGCAATGCTTCTACCTACACCAAGGAGAAATGAATGAAATACTGTGAAGATAAAATGCATTACATTTGGGGCTGGGAAGGTGGCTCAGTGGTAGAGCGCTTGCCTTGCATGCATGAGGCCCTGGGTTTGATTCCTCACCAGCACATAAGCAAAAAAAAAAAAAAAGCTAGAAGTGGTGCTGTGGCTCAAGGGGTAGAATGCCAGCCCTGAGCCAAAGAAGCTCAGGGACAGCACCCAGGCCCCTGAGTTCAAGCCCCAAGAATGGCAATAAATAAATAAGTAAATAAATATGTTCTTATTGTAATTCCTTAGCAAGGATACCTTTTCTTTTCTTGCTGGTTGTAAGGCCTGAACTCTGGGCCTGGGCGCTGTTCCTCAGCTCTTCAGCTCAAGGCTATAGTGCTCTACCACTTAAGCCACAGCACCACTTCTGGCTTTTTCTGTTTATGTGGTGCTGAGGAATCAAACCCAGGGCCTCATGCATGCAAGGCAAGCGCTCTACCACTGAGACACCTTCCCAGCCCAAGGATATCTTTTTACCATATCATGCACTTAATTTATTGTTGCTTAGCATCTTTTCCCTGTACTACCTTGGAGAGAGCAGAGAACTTGGTCTGATATGGAGTAGTGTGTGTGTGTGCGCGCACGCGTGCACACACATGAGTGCACAATACTGGGGCTTTAACAAATGCAGGGCCTTGAGTTCTTGCTTTGTCACTCAAAGCTGATGCTCTACTACTTTGAGCCACACTTCTTCTTCTGTCTTTTTTTGTTTGGCTGGTTAATTGGAGATAAGAGTCTCATGGATTTTTCTGCCCAGGCTGGCTTGGAACTGTGGTCCTCATGGCTCAGCCTCTCAAGTAGCGAACATGACATGCATGAAACACCAGTGTTCAGCCTTGGTGTGGGGTTGTATTTTTGTGGTTTTTTAGAGGAGTGGTGCAGGGCTGGGACTGGAATCTTGGGACTTGTGAATGCTAGAGGACTCCATCACTGATCTACATTCTAAGCCCACTTTGGTCTGTTGTGTTGATGGATGTAACCTAGTATGCGAAAGTGCCAGATACATACCAGGTGCTCACATATGGACTAAATGGAATATTGATAATGATGATGATATCACTATCCTAGGAAGTACCAGCCTTAGGACTCTAAGTCCCAAGGAAAGATGTAAACGATTGCTAAGAATAAAAGGGACCATGGATGAAAGTTCACTGATGGAAGTTCTCTTCTCCCTGTTTCTGTCTTTCAGAGTCCCTTCTTTCAAGGGATGGTGCCCTTGAAGGTAGCATGGTGGAAGCCTTCCTTCCATGCCAACCCTGTTTCTGTTCCCGGTCAGTTGCTTGGATTCCATGGTCACTTGTTTTCAGTTCAGTTAGCTCTGAGAAGGGCAAAGAATGGGTAGGAAAAAGCTGAGGGTTGAAATGGATGGGTTAATTCTTGGAGCATTTGGTGAGCACCTTCCATGGCCGGAGACTGTGTTAGAAGCTGGGGTGGGAGCAAATATTCTAAAAATAGACAAAGATATTCTCTTCATTAGAGTGCTCAGTATCTTAACCAGAAACCAATCACGTTTGGGAGATCAGCACTTGAAGAACAGAAAACAAAGCCAGATACTTCCAAGAGAATCTATAGCTGACTTCTAAATAGTTAACTCAACAATCAGACTTTTCCACAGCAGGCATATCAACTTTACCAAGTCATACTTGTAAACCAGTAGCACTGTTAGTTACTGTGGAGATAAAATGAATTACATTTGACTGTTTCATGAGGTGATTCAAAGTTATTCTTCTCTATTCCCTGTCCCCACCACTCTAACCAGATACCCAACTGATTTGTCCCCGATGGCTCACTGAGATTACTGTCCTAATTTGTTCTTTCTTCATCTTGCTACCAACTGCCTTATTTTCTATCCCTTCTGATAAAGTAGAAGCGCCCAGGGACTTCTGAAGCTGTTTTTGCACCATGCAGGAGTGTGTTAACTGGAATTCCTGTGTATGTGTCTATAAAACCCCTCGCCTTCTCAGTGTGAGTTCACCTTCAGGAACGGCGTCATGTCGATGTGCAGCTTGCACGTGTAAACTTCTGTTTCGTTTGAACATATCAGCCCTTTATTTATACAGCTTTGAGGCTCTCCTGTCTTCTGAGCTGCTGCCTCCAAGGACTGCCTGGCTCCCTGGGAGAGAAACAGAAAGCCCAGCTTTCACAAGAATGATACACATTGCGACAAGAGCCAGTCCAAATCCCCTAATATTTATAAAAAGCAATTTCTTTTCATCGCTCTCACACTAGTAGCAACACATCTATTTTTATTACCACCAAAGACACAGGGGACCCCATGGGTGTAGAGAATGAAAGACTGGTTAAGAGTGTCCGGAGAAGGGAAAGAGGCCTTCCCAGGTTTGTAATTATTTCATTGAATCCTCCCAACAACCCTGTGAGATGAGGAATCTGGGAGCCTCTGGGAGCTCAACAGCTTTCGCGAGTCATTCAGCTGGCATATGAAGGAGCTAAAATCCCTGTCCAAGGCTCTTTCTTTTTTTTTTCCAGTCTTGAGGCTTGAATTCAGGTCCTGGATGCTGTCCCTGAGCCATTTTGCTCAAGGCTAGCGCTCTACCACTTGAACTACAGCTCCACTTCCAGCTTTTTTGTTGTTGTTGCTGTTGTAATTTATTGGAGAAAAAAGTCTTTTGGACTTTCCTGCCCATGCTGGCTTTGAGCTATGATGCTCAGATTTCAGTGTCCTGAGTAGCTAGGGTTCCAGGTATGAGCCCCTAGTGCTTGGCTTGTTTTTGTTTTTGAAACCAAGTGTTGCTGGGCAGCACAGGTTAGTTGTGCTTATGATCCTACTACTTTAGCCTTTAGCATGTTGGAATTACAGGAGTGCATCACCATGCCCAACTCTAAGACTCCTTTGTTGTTGTCATCTGTAGCCAGTACTCCACTGGGTTCATGACACTTTGCTTGTTGGCCGACATTCTAACAACTGAGTCATGCCTCTAATCCTTGAGACTTTTTTTTTTTTGTCGGTCATGGGGTTTGAACTCTGGGCCTGAATGCTGTCCTTCAGCTCTTCAGCTAGTGTTCTACTACTTGCACCATTGCGCCACTTCCGGTTTTCTGGTGGTTTATTGGAGATAAGAATCTCAGGGACAGGGCTGAGAAGATAGCTTAGTGGTAGAGCGCTCGCCTTGCATGCTTGAGGCCCTGGGTTGATTCCTCAGCACCACATAAGCAGAAAAAAAAGAAGCCGGAAGTGGTGCTGTGGCTCAAGTGGCAGAGCGCTAGCCTTGAGCTGAAGAGCTGAGGGACAGCGCCCAGGCCCAGAGTTCAGGCCCCATGACAGGGTCCCCCCACTCTTCCCCCCCCCAAAAAAAAAAGAATCTCAGGGACTTTCCTGCCCAGGCTGGCTTTGAACCGCAATCCTCAGATCTCAGCCTTCTGAGTAGCTAGGATTACAGGCGTGAACCACTGGTGCCCGGCTCTAAGACTCCTTTTTAAAATGAGATCTTTATATTTCTATAAGTTCTACAAATCAAACCTGCCTTACAGCAAATACAGTTATAGCAAGATTCCAACTTTTTTTTGGGGGGGGTCTGGTTGTGGGGCCTGAACTCTGGGCTTGGGCGCTGTCCTTCAGCTCTTCAGCTCAAGGCTAGCACTCTACCCCTTGAGCCACAGCGCCACTTCCAGCTTTTTTTTTTTCTGCTTATGTGGTGCTGAGGAACCGAACCCAGGGCCTCATGCATGCAAGGCAAGTGCTCTACCACTGAGCCACCTTCCCAGCCCTCCAATTCTTTTTTGAGCTGAAAATATATTTTGTATATTAGAAAACTTGGTCTGAACCAGGCACAGTGGCTCATGCATATAATCCCAGCTGTATGGGAGGTGGAGATCTGAGGATGGAGGTCCAAGGGCAGCTGTGATGGCAAGCACCTGTGGGCTCAGCTATGTGGCAGGCTGTAGGTTTTATTCTAGGCCAGCCCTAGGCAAAAGAGATGCCAGACCCTACTTGCAAAACCAAACCAAACCAAACAAAAACACATCATCAAAAATAAACTAAAAAGAAAAAGGGCTAGAAACCAGGAAATTTGGCTCAAGTGGTAGAGTACTTGCCTAGCAAGCACAGGGCCCTAGTTCAAACCTTAGTATTGCCCTCTCCACTCCCCTGACTTCCCCCCCCCCACAAAAAAAATAGGAAAGTAAGTGTTACTTGAATAAATGTGGCTGAGAAGGAAGGAGAATTAGACAAGAGGAGTCTGGGAGGCCTGGGGAGACTGGTATTTGGGGCCAGCTCTCTATAGTCACCACCATGCACAGTTTGGCCTGAAAGTTGCCTTCCAGCCCACATTCCACCCTGTAACTGCAACTGAATGATCTTTACAAGATGCAGACTAACCACATCACTCTTCTGTTTAACACTTTCTAAGAACACTGCCAATAGGCTTAGGTTTATGAGGCCATTATTGCCTGGTTCTATCTCCCCAGTTTCATTTATTTATTTAATAAATATGTATTGGGTATTAAAAAAAACCTCTAGTACTTGAGACTTAACTCAGGACCTCATGCTTACTAGGCAGGTACTTTACCACTTTTATTTTTTATTTGTTTCACATAGGGTTTTATGCTGTGGCTGGGCTTGGATGAAGATTGTCCTACCTCCACCTCCCAAGTAGCTGGGATTACAGGTGTGTACAGCTTTAAGTGTCTTCTTGGTGCCACACAGAGTGCCTTATGTAGGCAGAAGTCCCCACTGTTATGGAGAATGTACCTCCCTTCCACTGAGAGGGAAGAAAGAACAAAGAAGGAAATGAAGGTTTTTGTTTTTGTTTTTGTTTTTTTTTGGCCAGTTGTGGGGCCTGAACTCTGGGCCTGCGCACTGTCCCTCAGCTCAGCTCTTCAGCTCAAGGCTAGTGCTCTACCACTTGAGCCACAGCGCCACTTCTGGCTTTTTCTGCTTATGTGGTGTTGAGGAATTGAACCCAGGGCCTCAGGCATGCAAGGCAAGCACTCTACCACTGAGCCACCTTCCCAGCCCATGAAGTTTAAATCATGACAGAAGGTGATTCACAGCAGGCGATTCAGTCCCTCTCCACCCCCTACTCCTGACCCCCCCTCCACTGCAAAATGGTGAAGCTCTGGGAGACAGGAGCCATAGCTGTCTTGTTCCCAAGTCACAGCAGTGCTTGACTCAGGGTTCTAATACACAGCTTAGATGTAAGGGATATATAAGTGACAGACAGCAGAGGCAGCTAGCGTATGGTCCCTCTCGCTGGAAATGGAGAGGGGACAGAGACACATCTTCATAGGAAGTATGCATTGACCTCCAGAGGCCTGACTTCTGCAAGGCACTGGTCTCTCACTCCCAGAGAGAAAAGCTATTTGTTATTTTTTCAGACTTGACTTTTGGGGGTCATATACATTAGTCTGCTATGAGATCACCCTGGGTGGGGACTTGATCATCTCCATATTTTCTAAGAGACTAACTCTCAGATGTCTGTCTGTCTCTCTGGGCAGCCATAAACTCTCCTTCCCATAACATTTCTATTACTTGTAAGCATTCAAGAGGAATTAACAGTTGGTGGGTTACCACAAGCAGCCATCATTCCAATGAACACCCACACCCTTTTCCTTTGTTTTGAAATGTGGCTAGAGATAAGGATTTTTTTTTATGAATACGTAGCCAGTTTTTTGTCATCTCAGCCATATATCAGATTAGCTTCTCAGGCAGACATCCCCTTGCTCTCTTCTAGATCAAATGGAAACCTTTGGTCCAAGCTTGAGTCAGACAGAGCATTCTGATCTTCCTAGATTCTACAGTCTTGCATGAAACATGGATGGAATAAACAGAAATCAGATACTACTGATTTAATTATCAGTATTTCACCATTATCCCCAAGGAAGATTTTGTATTAGGCTGGAGGACAAAAAACACAGCCAAGACCAGTTCCAATGCTTGGAATCATTTTAACTCCTTAAATGGTGCTGACTGAAGTGGGGAGTTGGGGGGTTTTGAGAAAAGTTGACCTGTAAATCTTTTTCTTTAAAAAAAATTTTTTTATTGTGAAAATACTATACAGAGGGGTTACAATTACATGGGCAAGGTAATGAGTACATTTCTTATCAAGCATTGTTGCCTCCTCCGTAAATCTTTTTCTATAACAATTCTTCACGTTAAGGGCCAGTAATTCTACTTAGTGAGATGTTTTCGGTGAAATCTCTACAGCACAGTTATGATTTTGCTTATTATCATTTTTAAGAGTTCTAGAAAAATAAATGATAGGGAGAAGGAGTTTGGGAGATAGGAGGAAAGAAAAGATTAAACACAGAGGATTCTGAGTTATTGATAGAAGACAGAAAGTTGAATCCAGGAAAGCAAGTCATGTGCTTGGGTGGTTTCTATTTAGTCATGAAACTGGTATTTATCGAGTACCTTACCATGTGTCAGCAAATAAGCACTTGACTAAGAAGGATGATTTTAGATGGCGACTCAGCTATGAGATGCTGCAATAGTGATAGAGGATGGGGGTGGTGATGGGAATTGAGAGGAATGAGTGACTTGCTGGTCAGGTGGTCAGGGAAGATGAGGAATGAGGGGATCCACTTGATCATCAAATTTATCATTCCTAATAAAGGATGATCGGAAATGGGTGACTTTCTGGGGTAGTCAGGGAAGATCTCTCTGAGGAAGTGACATTGGAGCCAAGACTAGATGACTGGAAGGAGCCAATCAGCTGAGCACTGATAGCTCATGCCTATAATCCTAGCTACTCAGAAGGCTGAGCTGTGAGGGTCAAGGTTTGAAGTCAGATAAGAAATTCTTATTGGGCTGGGAAGTTGGCTCAGTGGTAGAGTGCTTGCCTTGCATGCATGAGACCCTGGGTTTGATTCCTCAGCACCACATAAGCAAAAAAAAAACCTGGAAGGGTACTGTGGTTCAAGTGGTAGAGAGCTAGCCTGGAGCTGAAAAGCTGAGGGACAGTGCCCAGGCCGAGTTCAGCCCCCACGAATGACAAAAAAAAAGGGACTCTTATCTCCAATTCATTAACAAAAACTTGGAAGTAGAACTATGGCTCAAGTAGTAGAAAACCATCCTTGAGTGAAAAAGGCAAGTGGGCCTCAGTTTAAGCCCCAGTGCCGAAACGTTGTGGGGAGGAGTGAGGGAATGAGCCAGCC